CCCCAAAACCCCAAAACCCCAAGTACTAAACTCGATTAATCAAGTGCGAAAATGCACAGTAGATTAATATAATTAAAAATTGAATGGATTCGGGGAACTCTGATGATATAGCTGTTAATGTGGCTAGCATCATTATTTAACATGAGATCTAATTCGACTAAATAAATGTGATGAGACTTAAGACTGTAATATAGAACTTCTTTAATACAATGATAGCCCCTAAGGGCGTCTTAGTCCACTAGCTAGCTAAAGCTTAAAAGCCATAATTCAGCCACTTCAACATATAATTTGATAAGTAGCTGTGCCAGTCAATGGCTTTTGATTAGCCAGTGACGGATGACTAAATGAGGGTTTTTGCAGGATAGAAAGACGATGAAAGTATGAATAATGATGATAATCCATAAGTTAGTAGAAGTCCCATGATTCAGGATTCGATCATCCAAGTGAACAATGACTTAAGCAAACTAACTCCCTCTAAAAGAAGTGCCAATTCTTCAGTAAAGTCCAAGAAACCTTCTGAATCCTAAGTAATAAATAAATCAAAACCTAAAATTATGGGCGGCAATGTAGGCTACTAGCCAAAAATACTTGCCTAAGTTATAAACTCTAGTGGTAGCTCAAGTGTGAGCAAATAAATGGAAATGCTTAATCAATAAATGGATATACCTCTAATTGATGAGCATATTGGACAAGCAGATGAAAGCGAATCTTCAATAAGACTGTATAATTAAGATAACGCAGTTATTAATCAAAGCTAATATACAAATAACAACAAATAATACCAGAATGAAACTTAAAACAATAATAATAATAGCATAAGTAATGATACATAAAGACTAAAGAAGATAGAAATAATTAAGAAGTTATATGAAATTAAGAAATGTGTTTAAATTAAGAGATTGATGGCTTAAAAGGAGAGTCTCTACCATTCGGAGTAAGATCTATCATTGCCTTTATTTAATTTATCTGTATAGTATATCTGAGGTAGATGCAGCATGTAAAGTTATACTTGAGTATGGTCGATTGTTTATATTCTAAAATATGAGGAAGGCTTGCGATTTCGATAAACTTTCATAGGAGCAACTCTTAAAGTTAAAGTTAGATGAAAAGATAAAGGAGTATAATAATTATTACTTAAATGACAAGGACTTCATAATGAATACTAATAGTAACAGCTACTCAGTGGATCAATAAAAGTAGGCTCGTGTATTAGAGAAGCTGATTCTTTCCTCGATCAATGTCCAAGTTTAATAATAAGGCGGTAAAGATCAGTAGAAGAAAATGCTGTTAGAGTAGCATATGGTAGCTGAAGACCTATTTCAGAAGAAAATTGATAATCCTGAGTTTACACCTGTCAAGGACATCGACGATAAGTTCAAAAGATATACTTATGAGAGAGGCAATCGTTTAAATAAGATTAATCATATGAATCTAAGCACACCTGCAACCAATAAGTCAAAGAGAGCTACAACAAGCATCAATGCAAATAAGCCCAATATGATTTCGCTGGGTAAAAGAGCAATGAAAGACTCAGCTTTATAGGAAAAGTTGTAGGAGAGCTCTATTTAACTCAAGAGATAGAAAATGAAGTAGCATATGAACCTTAGTAAACTCGAAAACAGAAAAGGCAACTAGGGTCCATAGTTAACTATTAATAGAACCAATAAGCAGGGATTAACGATAGTAAACAAAAGACTAATAAATACTGATGTAAACTTTACAGAAGAAAATGTTAATGGCAGGTCATAACAATCTGACAGTGAGTGCTAGATGATTGAATTGGATTGAATTAGAAATAGTCTTAAATAGATTAATAATTAATTTTAGAAAACAATATTTCAAAAATATGTTATTTTGATATTAGGGGTTTTGGGGTTTTGGGG